CATCCTCAAGCACGGACGTACTAGGAGTAACTTGCCCCTACCTCCAAATCAGCCCCATATTTTATATTTTATTTCTCTTTTCTTAGTTATATACTCCATGTAGTCTATGTATTTGACCCGACATAAATTTAAACAATAATGTTATGAGTTTATATAAATGATTTATATTCAAACCTACAAATTGAAACACAAAATTAAAATTTAAAAGAGCAGACAAAGTCTGATCATATCATAGTCTAATTAGGCTTAAAAGATTCGTCTTGTGAATTTCGTTGACATGTGATGAAATGAAACGAAAAGAAAAGTGTGACATGTGAGGTGACCCAGCAATGAGGGGTGGAGTGGGGAAGTAGGGAGTCTCCTACTTTTATGTGACTGAGAGAGAGTACTTAACTATGTTTTTTATTAGCATTAAAAAATTTCAGAAGTTTCTGGAGCTAATCTAAGGCTTCAAACGGCTCTAGCTCCTTGGTATAGTTTATGAAGTAGCCGGAGCCTTCAGTAAGTCTAAATTTATTTTGAGAGGAGAATAAAACTCGTTTCTTACTAAAGTGTACACGAGGATCTAAAACCGAATCAAACGAGGCCTAAGCGTCTGGAGTTGATCTAAGTTGTGCTCCTACTAACCAGTGTCTATGCTTTGTTTCTTAGACCAATCCGACGATTCAGATCCAGCCGCGCGGCCTCACTGGCTTCTCTCCCCGCGGTGGGCCCCCACCTGCGCAACCCATGGATGGGGACACGATCGCGGGCAGTTTGGTTTACGATCTGATCGCGTGGTGAGCTAGCTAGATTCATAATATTCAACGGGCGGCGGGAGAGAGGTGAGGTCAGCGGCGCTGTCCATGACGCCAGGAAGAAGAGATCGAAACAGGCCACACGGCCACCAGTTGTTGTTGGATGGAGCTGCAGGCGGGTGTGTGCGTGACTGCGTGGTCGCGCGCGGTCCCATCGCATTTCGCATGCACGGGACGGGATCGCATCGTATCGTATCGGCCAATCAAATGCGCGCGGACTCGAACTCGACCGATCGTGAGGCGGTGGCATCTTCCGTTCCGTCGCGCCCGTCCCGCTTGCGTCCATCACATGCTGGATGCTGATGCGTTTCTTTATCGGTGATGATATATGTCGGGTGTCCGACACTTCACTTTACCTTTGGACGTGGCTCGCTCTCCTCCACTCGCACGTGGCTTATCCTTGTCCGCTTGCCCCACGTCGCTCTGCCCGTTCCATACGGTGCGCCCCCACTCGGGTAGCAACGAGATGCTCGCCGCCGCTCCCTCCCGAGCCGCTCATGGCACCGCCCCGCCCGAGCCATGCGCCCCCGCTCGCAGTAGCAACGAGCCGCTCACCGGTGCCGCCCCCGCCTAGGCCGCTCGCTGGCGCTAAAGATGGCAATGGGTAAAATCCGCGTGGATACGAGGTTCAGGTATCCATATTCGCGAGCTAAAATCCACGCCCGCACCCGCACCCGCTATCCGTCACGAGCAGAAAACCGCGCCCATGCCCGCTATCCACGGATAGCGCATGCCCGCGGGCATGCTCATGTACCCACATAGCATTTATACAACAGACAGGCAACACATAAATACAAGTATAGAACTCTCGATTCTAGTTTTTCACCACGTTAAAGAACCATCAGGCAAGAGAGAAAAACCATTAGATAAAGTTCTAAGCAAGCAAATAAATAAGTCTTACACACATTAACATTAACAGTCTTACACACATTAACAGTTGGGGCCACATGTCAGGTATTGGAGCGGGTCTGGCGGGTTTGCGGGTGCGGATATCATTTTTTCACGCCCGTGAGCAAATATCCGTTGGGTTGAGGGTCTTGCCCGCGCCTGTGCCTGCGGGCACATACTTAGACCCATATCCGTGCCCATCGGGTTTCATATCTGCGGGTTTGCGGGTATTTTCTACCCGTTGCCAACTTTAGCTGGCGCACCCCTCCCGAGCTGCTCGCGCGACGCTCCCCCGCCCGCACCGCTCCTTCCTCGACCCCGACGTCCTCCTTCACGGCTGCTCCTTCCCGCACCCCGGCGTCCCTCCTCCCCCACCCCGGCGTCCTCCCTCACAAGGAGCTCCAGACGCCTACAGATCCGGCGGCCATGGCGCTCCCCGCGCCAGGCTCTCTTCTATTCCCCCATGTTGCAATTGTGTCTTTCAATTGTTTCAGAAGCTTTAGAGGTATGTTGCAGTAGAATCATATGGTTGATTGCAAAAGTAGATCTGGCATGTTGCACTTTTGTTGATATGTTGCAGGTATTTCAAATGATTGTTGCAACCACTTTGTTCAAAATGTTTCACGTGTTTCTACACGATGTTGCAATCGTTTCTGGTCTGGATGTTTTCATATGGTTCACTCAATTGTTGCAATAATACTTTCCAAATTGTTTCAGTTGCTTCCAATCTTATGTTGCAATAATTATTCCACGTTGTTGCAAGTGTTTTTTATTTGAGCGTTGTTTCATATGCTTTCAGCCTAATGTTGCAGCGGTTGTTCCGTGTTGTTGCAATAATATGTTCATGGTGTTTTCGGCTGCTTCAGCCAAATGTTGCAGCAATTGTTCCATGTTGTTGCAATAATATGTTCATGGTGTTTTTAGCTGCTTGAGCCTAATGTTGCGTTGTTGTTGCACGTGTTTTATTCCAGCTTTCTATATTGTTTGGCCAGGTAGCAGGAGGGGAGGGGAGCGAGCCAGCGGCGGGGGCGCGAGGCTCGCCGGAGGGATAGTGGATGGAAGCATTGGGGGTCAACGGATGGGGGTGCTGCGGTCAGGGGGGCGATGGGGCATGCTCGTCGCGCACATGGGGCGTTGCGAAAGGTGGAAGCGGCGGGCTATGGGGGACAGGTTGCGGGGCGAGCTGGGGGCGCGAGCAGCAAGCGCGGGGGAAACGAGCGCAGATCGAGGCATGCGCGAGAAACGGAGGCGGGCGGGCGCGGTCAGGCGCAACTGCCTCGAGCGTCCGGACGGACGCTAGCGCCTGAATCGGACGTCCGGGCGCTAACAGTTCCCTTTCTTTATTCCTGCTACCTGCTGGCGCCTGTGCTGCGTGCTCTGCTGGGTCTTCCAACTGCCGCCTTTCTTCGTTCTGAAATTCGGCACATGGCGATAAGTACGCGTGCTCTAGTGCCATGTCCTACTGTTCTGTTCACACGCGACTAGCTAGGAAAGGCGACGACCACCTTTTTCTCCGGCGGTGACGGGCTGACGGCTCCCACCTACGTACACACATAGGGTACAGATTCGTACGGGGCCAAGGATCGGATGACCAACCATTCTTTGAACGTGATGGGACTATACGCGAGGCACCATTCATGATTCATCACATAGTATTTTCCACACTAAAATCCACATTATATTGAGGATGTGCTTTTCTTTTATATATTTTGCCGTTTGACTCGTTAAATTTCAGAAGAGAAGTTTGACTTGACAAAACCAGAATCATATACTCTCTACTCCAAATTATAAGTCATTATGATTTTTCTTAAGCAATGTATCTAGAAAAGTCGTTCTGTTATAGTTATTGATGTATTTATTTTCTAAAGCTATACCAAAGATAAAGAGTAGTTTAACTTAGGAGAGGTCTAAAACATCCTGTTTGTTTGAGCTGCGTTTATTTTTTTTTGGCTTCTGACTCAAAAGTTGGCTCCTTTGGTTCCGACCGTTATTTTTTAGCTATTGCTTTTGTAATAAATTTTTAGCTTCTCAGCGCATTGACAACCAAAAAAAGCTCCATCCAGTGTGCTTTTCAACTTTCAGTTTATTTCTTCAGAAGTTAGCTTTTTTTGGAAGTCAGCTCAACATATAGGCCGTATGCCAGCCGGAAGCTGAAACAGATAGCAGCGCTTCGACGGTCTGGTGGTGTGTGTAGTGTAGGTAGGTGTGCTTGACCTTTGCAACCGAACGAAGATACTCCACGTCCACGGTGGATAAATAAAAGAAAAAGTAAACGATGGATAGGTATGGATTACTTGCTCGATCATCCAGCAGATTCGAGTATTCGGCGCTTGCATTGACCTGTTAAAATCTGAAGCGAAGGGAGAAGCTATCGTCGTCAGCGGTAGACAATAATCCGGTCTGCCCGTCGTTTTGTTTCTTTTTCTTCAGATTTGATCCATCGACGGCTGAACAATTCCTCAACCTATCGATCGGTTGCTTCTTCAACTTGCTGCCAGAGATAGCCAGCAAGCACCGCGCCGGCCGTACGAAAGTCAACAGCACGCGCCCTAAACAATCGCTGGACACTAGCTCGTACGGGGTTCCTGATGCGTTCGTACACACGCGTACGACGGCCGCCGGGAGCCGGGAGCCAACAGGTAAGAACGCATGCATTTTTGTCAGATCGATCCATCGACAAGTCAGAGCGCGGCGCGCGGCAGCGGCTAACCGCCCGATCCATGGACCGACCGCTGGAGCAGCTAGCTAGGTAGCTCGCTCGCTCGCGTAGCAGAGGCAGAGCAGACAGCCCTGGCGCGTGGACCAGAGAGAAATTGAACGCGGCGGCAGCGACACGCAGGACACGTTAGTTGGGGAGACCGCAGCGGCGACCACGACGACGACGACGGTGACAACGGGGACGACGGGCTATTCTATTGCGCGCGCTGGCTCGCTTGCTTGTCTCGCTTGCCCGTGGGGCCGGCCGGTGCGTACGTAGGCCAGCTAAGCCAGTTGACATTTTTGATGCGCCCACGCCCAGCCGTATGGACGAGGACAACGACGACTGAACCGTGATAGGCTCTGCCACTGGGATTCGGTGAGGCATCTACCATTTGTTTATCCCAAGCGAGTCAGAAACTGTAGGCTTGTTGTCCTTGCGCCCGTGCCCGCCTCTTTCCTTTCCTTCTTTATAAGGAGACGAGCGAGCTCGGCATAGAGGTACGGCCAGGACAAGGCATTGCTTGCCGAAAGCTGAGCTGAGCTGCTGCTCGATCGAGGAGGGAGGGGTAGGCCGGTACGGCTAGCTAGATTGGTTGGTTGGTTGCCGCCGTTGCCATGGAGGTCGCCGTCGAAAGGCCGCCGCCGCAGGTGAAGGAGGAGAAGAGGCCCGACGCCAAGCCAGAGATCGCCGCCGCACCGGTATGAAAGACTACATATGCTCGATCCTTTCTCTTTCCTTCTTCTTTATTCATATAATTTTGTGTTGGTTCTTCAACGGTCGTAAACTAGAGAGATCTGGCAGAGCATGAACCTTTTCTTGTGGATGCAGATAGGAAGCGCTGTTCCGATAGTCTTCGAAAGCTTTCCATCGACGCAAAGAGACGCGGCCGGCATCAACATCAAGCAGGAGGAACGCAGGCTGGAGGCGGCCAGGGCGGAGATGGGCGAGGTGAGGGAGGAGAACGAGCGCCTCAAGTCGATGCTGTCCCGCATCGTCAGCCAGTACCAGTCCCTGCAGATGCACTTCCTCGACGTCGTCAAGGTGCAGGAGCAAGCATCTGCAGCCAAGGCGGAGAACAAGCTCCCCGTGGCGCCGGCGCCCACCACCGACGATGACGGCCCCTGATGACCTCGTCTCCCTGAGCCTCGGCACGAGGGCCAACAGCGGTGGCGGTGGTGCCGCCTCCAGCCGCAAGGGGGCACGAGAGGTCGTCGTCCTCGTCCGGCACCGCTGATGAGATGACCACCGCTGGCGCCGATGACGAAGGCCACCACCAGCTCTCCTCGGGCTCGGCTTCGCGCGCGGGAGCGGGCTGCCGTCGTCCACGGCGGCCACGGATGACGACAAGGGGAGCCACGCGTCCGCGGCGCCCGTCCTGAACCTGAGCTCCGACAGTAGCGGCAGCGCCGACGACAACGATGACGCCAAACCTGCCCTGGCCGCCGTGGGCACCGCCCGTAAGAGCCTGAGCGCCGGTGCCGGAGACGGATCAGCTGACAACGAGGTGCAGCAGCAGGCCAAGAAGGCTAGGGTTTCCGTCAGGGTCAAATGCGACACTCCCACGGTACGTGACAAATCTGCACCTTGTTAATAAGCCTTCGGCCAATTTCAATGGGAGTTTTATAAAGTTTTATAGACATTAAGAAGAGAGATGATAAAAATTTTATGGGAGTAGAGAGAGTTTTATGGGGATGAAACTCTTTCTAAGACTGCTTCCAAAAAACATGAGAGTATTGAAAACTAGGACATTGAATTAGCACCGAGACTGACCTTATAAAACTTGAGAAAATTGTCCCAAATAAACACAGACTAGCATGCATAAAAATTGATTGAGCTCTAGCTAAATGCAATATATTGTTATTTATGCCTGACCTAAAAATCATAATTGTTTTGTCTAGATGCCCGATGGCTGCCAATGGCGGAAGTACGGGCAGAAGATCTCCAAGGGGAACCCGTGCCCGCGAGCCTACTACCGCTGCACGGTGGCGCCGCACTGTCCGGTGAGGAAGCAGGTGCAGCGGTGCGCGGAGGACACGTCGATCCTGATCACCACGTACGAGGGCGTGCACAACCACCCGCTCCCGCCGGCGGCGACGGCCATGGCGTCCACGACCTCCGCCGCGGCGGCCATGCTCACCTCGGGCTCCACCACCTCCGCCGCCTCAGCCTCGCTCATCCACGGCCACCACCACCAGCTGGCGGCCGCCGCCGGGATGCTAGGCCCCACCACCATGGTCTCCACCGCCGCGTCCTGCCCCACCATCACGCTCGACCTCACCTCCCCTGCCGCGCCGCACTCCCTCATGCACTCCTCGCCCTACGCCGCTGCCGCAGCAGCAGCCGCAGCGGGGTTCGAGTCCAAGGCGGTCCCGGCGGCGTGGAGCAACGGGTACCTGGCGTACAGCGGCGCCCACCCGTCCTACTACTCCAAGAGCTCGCCGGCGCTGGGGCACCTATTCGGTGGAAGCCTGGGGGCGCCATCGAGACCAGAACAGCTCTACGCCGCCCAGTCGTACCTGCAGAGAGCCAACAGCCTGGGCGGCGGCCATGGCGCGGTGGCGCCGGCCGTCACGGACACGCTCGCGAAGGCGATCACGTCCGATCCGAGCTTCCAGTCCGTGCTGGCCGCGGCGATCACATCCGTCATGGGACGCGGCGGAGCCGCTGCTGCCCAGAAGTGATCAGGAATTCAGGATCGGCGGCGCATGCCCCATGCGGGAGATCGATGGGCAAGGGAAAATCGCGTTTTTGAGCCCATCAGCCCATGCATGCATGGATTAGTGGTTCATGTGTAATTAATAAGTGCATCGTGGTTATTTTACTTTGTTCATTGAAGTAGTTGTTCGTAATTGGCTGGGGAAATGATTGGTGATCACATTATGTCAATGTAACAGGGATCATCAATTTGATCGATCGATGTACATAGCACAGACGAGTCAAAAATTGTACGTATCTATGCACCATGGGTAGAATGAAAGAAAGTTTTGATCAGGTTGTTCCAGCTAAATTTGATGGGATCCAAATTAAACCCTATATACTTTTTTTTTTGCTTTCCATTTCAAGGACAACATAACACACGCCACACTCGCAACTTCCAAATGAAACAAATGACATGATGGAGCTAGAGAAGTCGTTTTGAGATGACAGATCATCAAAAACTTTCCATTTCAGGGGACACTTGATTTGTTCATCCCAAGGGAGGTTTTGACATGACAGATCAGAGGGCATTTGATATGTTCATCCCAGGGAGGTTTTGACATGACAGATCATGGGGCACTTGATTTCTTCAAGAATAATTCGATCAAGTACAGCTACACTCAATGAGCGTTAAAGACCAGGCCAGGCAAGCAAAATTAAACTACAGATGATGGAGATATATGTTACTAATGAAGTCTGAATCAAGACTTTGGACGCCGATCTGAACCAAGTCAAACAACTACCGTATTAGTTGGAGATTAGCCAGAGATGCAGGCAACTGCTCTGCTCGTCAGAGAAGACATGGACAGGCGAACCAATCAAAGTTGACTAAATATTATACCAGAGGAGACTTACGCTCCTCTCTCGAGTCTTGATTAGTAGTAGTACGTGCGCTGAGTGCTGTCCATTTCTTCAGCTTCCGTAATAGGGCTTTGTCCATGTCTTCTTCAGTTTCTGAATTGAAATACTAGGGTTCTGTCTTCTGTCCATTTCTTCAGTTTCTGAAATAAGTAGCGTTTTCAGACCAATCACCAATATACATACATTCAGATTCTCCGAGGAATGAGTAAATCACTGAGACGAGAATTTTACGAGTTCTCTGGCGTGTGACGAGATCAGATTGTGGCTAGAATGCTAGATGATTGCGCCTCTAACGCCATCTTGCCTTGCATTTGGTTGGACCGACGAGCTAGTTTTAGATGCTGAATATGCTCAGTTTCAGTTCATCACGCTCGTTGGCCTATCAGACCTAATTTGTTCAGACGCTCTTTGATCAAGTAGTACAAGAGTTTTTTTTCGATCCTCAGATATGATGTTTTAATTTCAAGGAATTAAACCACAGTAATCAGACCTAATAAACTAGCTAAACATATATGCAATAATGCAACAACTTTGGTCAGAGATGATCATATGACAGAACTTGAAAACTCTGATCTGAACCAATGCAAGTCAACCAACCACCGTAGTTCCAGACTGCTCGTAAGGAAAGATCAGGACTACAGAGTAAAAAGATAATTGCGCAATCTAATTGATACATCCTTTTTTTAGCAATATATGTACTTCCCAAGATATAAGTTGCCGATTTTACCAGCTCCCGACGCCCGACATAGGGTTTTTTTTTTTTTTTTTATATGCTACTGAAACATTGGTTACAGATGACAGCACTTGAAAACTCTGATATGTGTTATAAAACATGTTGCTAGCGGTCAGAACATTTTTCTCTTCGTCTCTCATGATCAATATAGTAGATAAAAGTAGAACACAAAGACACAAGAGATAGAGAGACTACTTTTTATTCCTCTCAATATTAGTGATTACAACATAGAGCTTCCACATATATATAGTCCTGTTAAGGTCTAAGAGTTTTGGTAAGAGCCTACGTACAAACGGACTAGGATCAGGATTCCTCCGTCTCCTTTCCTTCTGGGATAGAGTCCGTATGTTTTACAACACTCCCCTTGGGCGATTACCACGATATGCACATGCCTCATTAAAAACTCCATCCGAAAATCCAGTGGAAAAAATGGTTCTTGGAGAAAAGAGTGCATCACATTCGCTAATTGCATTATTGCACATGTTGTCTCATTAAAAACCTTTCGTGAGAAACCTTCAGGTAAAAACTCACATGGGAAAAAAGAGTACAACATTTAACATTCTTGGTCATATATTCTTCAGGATATTCTATTCTTCATTAATATATATTTATCTTCATGATCTATGCATAAACTTTAATGTTTTAGCAAAATGATCTACTTGATCTTTGTAATTCTAGTGGTTTTAATTACCTTCAAGGTATCAAGGTAGATTCAATTAAATTGCTCCCCCTCGTAAAGCCATCCTTTGAACATCAATGTTCAAACCACACTTTTCATAAAATGTGTGCTTAATAATGGTATGCAGTACCACAATACTATATCTTTCAAAATATTGCCTTGCAATTCTACTATGAATTATAATATGAGTAAACAAGAGCAATATGCTTCAAGCATAAATGACCACTTATTAGTTGTGCAAACAAATAAAATTTATCCTTTAGGATAATAAATCCTTTCAGAGGATTACGAGGGTAAATAATTTACAATATTCATTATCTTCTATATAGTGCATCAAACATATACTAGAGTTTGAATACTTATATTCTTTCTAGGCGGCTTTTCGAATTATATGTTATACAAATCTTCAGAATTTTGATTGTACCACTAAATAATAAATCCAGTCTTGCATTTGACATTTAGGGGATAATTCAATTACCAAAATCATCATTTTTCTTATACCTTCTACGGTATTTAGAGGATATCACCACTTCATTGCTAGCTTTCAATATACACTTTCTGAGTGTTCATATGACACCTTTATGGTGTTTATGATTCCTCATTTTCTTTCACTCGGGTCTATATTCACTTTAGGGATTAATGATGTTTATTCAAGAATCGATTGGTAAATCCTTCATGGATTAGTTCCTTCAAAGATGTTCTTATTTTCGGTGAATTACATTTCTCTTCCACGAGATATATTCTCTATTGTATGAGAGATTATTATGAGATATACACAATGATAGTGTTATTCCCTACAAAGTCATTCAATGACTCTATTATTTCTAGGACATGCTCTTCTTGAGACTTCAATATTCATACATGAATATATATTTTACCTTAAATTTCTTAATACTTGTATGAGATTTAATTTTCGTACGTTGCGATTTATATTCTTCAAGAATTATATGAATTTTCATAATCCACTTATTAACTGCATATTTCATATTCATTCATTTCATTTGTCAGAGATATAGCAGAACATCTATTTCTTCTTAGTAGGAGATTCAACCTCAATTGCTTTCTTCATTGACCCGATATAATCGCTACAGGCGACTTTGTCATGAACTTTGTTTTCTGGATCCGAGTTCTCAAAAGAGAAACATTTGTAATTGTAGAGGTAGTGTTGTCGACAACTTTTATTTTCTCCCAACACTCTCATAATGTGAGATTATTCTATCTCTTTGTCATTTTCCAAATAAGAGATAATTTATTGTTCTGTGTACCCAACACTATGATGCGCACGCTTAGTGTGTTGGATTTCATCTTCATGGTGATCCTCTTCATGAGGTGCTTAACCTTCTTCATGAGAATGGAGGAGTTTCATTTTATTTCTAGTCAACAAGTATACACTAAACTAGAACTTATAGGCATCCCTGTAGATTTTAGCTTGATAGTATATAATATTTTGTTTACTACTAGTAAACACAACTTCTGGTTTATAATTTCAAGCTACTCCTCTCATTTTCAAAAATATCTGGCATATGCTCCGCTTCATGCTTCACAAGAGCATTAGTCAAACTATTGTTTGATTTAGTGTGTGATACTATTCCTACTTCAAACTTCAAGCAATATTTTCTCTTAAGGTCATTTTTTTCTATGGAAATATATTTGGCATTCAACATAGGCTTTATCTCCCCCCTAATACCAATATTAGATCTTTAATAGCATACTTCAAAAGATATCTCCTATGATGAGCTTAAAATAATTAAAATCATATATCTCCAACTACAAGTGGAGGCCCATTTATGTATGCTATGATAGAGATTTATGGGAAATATTAACGCACATATTTAAACACGGGGGTTATTATTCATTAATGCAGCGAGCTAGAATACATAAAGTGCACTTAAGAATGTTCAACATTCCTACAAACTCAGGGATGTTCTCCCCCCTGATTTGCACATATCATAGTTTAGAAAAATATTTCATTTTCTAGCTTCTTTATTGTTTAGCCAAAATAATTGATCCAAGTACTCATACATAAAAAATAGACCATATACTTCAAAAATATAGAATACGCAACAATCAAACTCACATGAAATTTCTTTTAGACTTTCTAATTGCCATTAATGCAAAATTCCCTAAATACCTTTTCTTCATAAATCCCAAATCATCATAAGTATGTTATCCACATATTAATTCCATAATTATTCATCCCATTAATTGGGTTAGTCTCCGTTGAGCAAATATCATATTAATTTGCTCCCCCTGATCTTAGGCTGCTTGGCCCTATACCAATCTATTGCTTATGCATATGATGCATTGAGAAAGCAAATTATTCCTTAGTTCAACGAGAACTATATAGACATAGCGTGTTAGCTAGCCAATTTAATTATGAGGGAAGAGTGTAAAGGTAGCTACTAGCTATAACTATAGCTGCTATGCTAATATTCATGCAAGAGTAGAGATAGTTGCAACTCGACGAGAGTACACAACATAGTGATACACATTCATGTGTAATGTGGAATGTCGATATTTAATCCAACATAATAAATAACAACAAAATGCAAATCTACAAGCTTACTTGCAATTAGTGCAATGTAGAGAAAGTAAACTCAGCTGGAAGGGACGTGGCTAGGACTTCAAGTCCTGATACATGCACTTAAAGATAGATTTAGAAAGGCTATATCTATTAATATATATTACCCACATATTCTTATGCCTTTCCC